TTGGCATTATTCCAAGTCTACAATATATCACAGAATTTAAAAGCCAATGATAATATCTTAGTTTCTACTAAGTTCAAAAGTGTCTCAAGTATTTAAAAACCAGAGTTTGGACTAGCTTCAGAGTCTGCTTGCATAGCTCTGTGGTTAACCTCAAAGTTATGCAGCTTTCTCTGGCTATTCCTTGAAACAATGTGCAAAAAGATGATGCAAAAGCACAATCTTGCTCTTTAGATACTACCACTAAAGAGTGAACAAATGACTGCAAGGAAAAATCAGCCTTAATGTTCATCAGTATAAATTTTACCTTCTCTATCCTATTTCTTATTAGTACCTATATCACGGGTGTCAAACTCACCACATCACATGACGCGACATATCGCGACTCTTTTTGCATTGCCGGCAACGGGATGGGCGCGGCTGCAATTTGATGAAACTGGCCCTTGGCCCGGCAGTTTAACACCCCTGACCTATATCATTAACTCTAGAGTAGGGGTGTCAAACTGCCGGCCCGCGGGCCAGTTTCATCAAACTGAAGCCACACCCATCCCATTGCCGGCAATGGAAAAAGAGTCGTAATACCTCATGACATGTCACGTGACGTGGCAAGTTTGACACCCGTGCTCTAGAGCAAGAGGTATTGTGACACATTGAGGATAGATATAGTATGGCTTTGGGTTACCTGAAGCATCTGGTTGGACATAGAAGGAATAAAATGCTAGATAAGGCATTCTTCTACAATCTATTGATCTTGAGATGAATTAAGGCCACAATTCCAAGCTTCTTCTATGTTAGCCTGAAATTTGGGAAATTATAGTCCTAACACATCTTGAGAGCACCACACTGAAGAGGATTAAAATAGGACTATTCACCTGATCTGGTGTTCCTAATTTCTATCTGATTGGGTTCTCATGTAGCACTAATCATTTGCCTAAGTATGGTTACTGAATGGGCTGTCTTGAACAATATACCAAACCCAAACAAGCCAATTTTATTATGATTTAAAAGCAATATATGAACTCAGCCTTTCCCACCCCTCTCAATTTCAGTCGAAATGATTTTCAATGAAATTAATCCTGGTGCTTCATGCAAATCCAAGTAAATAATCAGAACTCAACTAGATTCTAATAATACCACTGCAATTACGTATGTAAAAATCTGTAACACTGACTTTATTTTATTTACAACCTTTAAACCTTGTATTTCACTTGAAGGGTAAATGTAACAGGTTCCTTCTCAAAAAGCTTGTTGATAAGCCACAACTTTGCCTTTACCGATGTGTATAAGATTTTCATTAAGCTTCATTTGCAAAGATTCCTTTTAGATGAAAATGATAGATCACATTAATCCCCCCCCCCAAGATGTTTATACATAGGGTAGGCATATTCATGAAGTATAGTAGATTTGGAATTATGTTAGCCTATTGAGAGCATAGTCACAAATGGTTGTCATGGAGATGGGCCTACTCACAAAATGGGAGCCATTATAAGATGTATAACAGTATGAGGAAATGATTTTGGAAGACAGAAAGAAGAGCCCAGAGGCTGGACAACAAGCATATAAAAAATATCTCCACCCACAGAAGGAGGGAAACATTTCAGGAGGGACTCTCCGTAGTTTTCTGGAAACCAAAAGGAAAGGAGAAAAGAAATACTTTTAGTTTTGCAAGAATGTGTCAGTGGAACCTTACAATAAAGTTAGAGTTAGTGAGGATTTCTGGTTGAGGAAAATTGAGGACTAACACACCTCTGAATGAGCAGAGATGACTTTGTGGCAGTCACAGCAGCAGGGTAACAAAACCCTCCGGCAAGAGGGTCCTTTCTGAAACATTTCCCAAGGTCATTCCCACATCCCATTACAGCATAACTAGTCCCAAGAGAGAAGGTCACTTACCAGATTGACCCTGCATTATTCACCAGAAGGAAAATAGTCCTAGTTGGTTTCTTCTATCCCAGTGAAAACTCTACGCAGTCCTGAGGCATTTGGGCAAATAAAGATGCTACAGATAGCCAGCATGCAACATGTTTCTATTCGATACAAACTTTTCATTTTAGTTTAGTTTCATTTAGTTTAAAGAAACCAGAGGTAGAATAAGAATCCATTGAGATTTGGAGATTTTGGGGGCACCCTGGTGTCTGGGTGCCAAATTACTACCCTGACATATGCTAAAGTTATTCATTTCCATAATGCATGTTATCTACTTTCTTTAGGACCAGAGATAAGGAGAAAGAATTCTTTTTCAAGGACTTTACAATCTAAAAAAACAACAACTTGGAAACTATATGCAGATGTTTCAGTTTAGGCAGATTACAAGCAGATATGAAAATGAGCAGGTTATATGCCAAGGATTCAGGAAAAGATCAACTAAGAAGAGGAATTAGAAAGAAGCTGGAAAAATAGCAACAGATAACTGTGTGAGTGTCTTTTATAGGATATTAAAATGCTTTATTTTTTAAAAAAACAGACTACATTATCCAGACTGATATAATTCCCTATTTCTTTCCCTTTCAACTTAGAAACCACAAAATTTTACAAATACCAGGCATGGGAACAGAGCAGAAAATGCCCTTTTTGTTGTTAAAAGCTTTTTCTCCAGACATTTCAAAGAAAGCAAACAATCAAGTTAGTTTAAAGGAATTAATGGGTTTTGACTTTTCCTTCAACCAAGAAAATAGCATCCCCAAAATTATTTACAAAAAAAATGGTGCCAGAATGGCATCCCAACCAGCCTGAAATACTTTGAAGAAGCAAGTGTGCTGGGGTCCATGATTTCATTATGTACACTACTTAGCAGGAATAACAAATAATAGGGATTTCTATTCATTGGTTGTTTAGCATTGCACCCAAGCTGGAATCGCCAGATTGCTGCTTTTTAAATAAGCCAACAAGAAAAAAAGGGGGTGGTAATGGAAACCCTGACTTTGAAGAACTTTGGCTGATTCTTAGAACTAGACAATGTTTGGCAGGGATGGATGCCAAAGATCTGCAAGAAAGCATCAATCTGTGACACAAGGGAAAAAACAGCCTATATTATCACTGAACAGTCTTCCTGCAGACCCAAGACATTCTCTTTTCTCTTTAGCTATAAAAACTGTCATCCAGAGAATCTAGAAAAGTGTTGCTCATACTCAAAATAAAAAAAAGCTAAAAGTTACAGAATGCCTGAGATGCGTAGCAACAATTTGGAAGGCAACTTTTGTCATAGCCCCAGCAGCACATATGGCTCATCAGTTTCCTTTTACAAAGGACCACCCAATAAACTGCAGTTATAGCCATCTAAAGGAGTCTGATGATCCAGCAAAACTTCAACACAACCTGTCAATGCTTGACCTAAGCGGGTGGCTGCTTCCTGACAAGCTGAGGCAGACTGCTAGGAGAAAGGCATTAACACAGTGATGAGGTACAGTGCAGAGGAATGAATATGCCCAGGCCTTCCACCACAGTCTTATGACATGTAGAAGATGAAACACCAGGAACTGTCAAAACTGAGTTTCCCAGATATGAAAGAGAGCTGATCATGGACATTATCTTCTGCAACAAGAATGGCTGATTCCTACCAGTTGTTCTTAAAAGGACAAACACAAGAAAAACCCTGATCAACAGGAACATGATCTTCAACCAATGTAGTTTTTTCCTGCATAATTTTTAAATATGTAACTGCTGCTCTTCATTTAAGATAAGCCAGAGAAGGCTAACAGGAATGATCCTGATGCAAATGAATTCAGAAACTAAGCTAAGCTATTGTGTGTTGTACTTGGTTTGGACTGAGAGTTGTCCATCATGATCTGTACACCATGAATTATAGTAAACAAGATGTGGGCTGCTGAAATGCAGCAATTTTTCAGGGATTCAAATGGAAGACTTTCTCCCTGGTATCACACTGAATCTAGTGCATGTGTATTATACAATCTGTACATTATAGACTAGTGATGGCGAACCTTTTAGAGATCGAGTGCCCAAAAACTGGCCCTGCCCCCACTCCACCCCATCCCGCCCCCACCCCCCTGCCCGCAGGGCCACTCAGTGCCTCCAGGGTCCGCTGCAGATCTCCCAGCAGCGCCATGGTGGCCACGCCCTCTGCCCGCGCTCTGCATCAACTGTGTGCGATGGGGCATGAGGGCAGAGCCTTGTCTACGCTGTCTGGCTGCCATGTCCTTGGCTGCACTGCTCCACGTGGGCCACGCTCGGGGGGGGCGACTCTCCTCCAGGGAGGCTGCTGGTGAGGAGGGGATTGCGGGGGGAGGCAAGGCTGAGGCAACAGCACGTGTGCCCAGAGAGGGCTCCGAGTGCCACCTTTGGCACCCGTGCCATAGGTTCACCACCATTGTTATAGACTATACTTAGGGAAGGACTATATAATCCTTCCTGAAACATGCAGTCCTCAATAGTTAAGATTATATCCTGGTGTGATGGGTAGCAAAGTTCAGCTGAGCAATAGTAGCTTTTTTCAGATTAACTGATGAAGTGGATTAGTTTGAAGGGAAGTCCTTGTTTACTGAGCTATTCAAGCCAACATATATACATCTATTTCACACCTCAAGATGAATGCAATTTATGCACTCTCCAATAAATGTCTCCTTCATATCAAGTTTAATTCTTGGTAGATATAGATTTTTTTGGCAACAATATAGAAACTGCTGCTTTCTTCAAGTACATTTTCTTGACTTTCTAATCCTGCTCAGTCCTGTGTTTCTTTGGTTGCTTCCGTATCAGCTAAGTCTCCTGTTCAAGAATTATCCAGGTCTGATGCAGCTAAGCTTTTTGAGATCAACTAAAGTTGGCTAGGTGGCCCATGATTTCATCTTAGCAATTAATTCATAATATTTGTCTAGAACAGAAGCAATTTGTCATCCTATTGCTCCTTTCGGTCTCCTTTTACAAGCTTTGCCACTCCTGCTCTTATAGTTTATTAACCTTCGGTTTTATCATCTTGGAAGCAAAAGAATGTGGAATGGAAGTGAAAACAGATGAGAGTTAGCCAAACTGAGCCACTGAATACTTACATCACTCTTCCTGAACTTGGCTTTCAAACTCTTCATGTTTTTTCCATTCAAACCTTACACGTTTTCAGCACCTATGTAAGGGGAGAAAACAGAGATGTAAAGAATACGTATATTTCCAGCTACATTTGGTTGAAGTTTAATAAGCATTAGCTTCATTTTCTTAAATGGAGTATGACATTAGTTTAGGCAAAAATGATATCCAAATCTGTTGTTCGATTTCACCTGCTATATTAAATAGCAAAAAAAAATTATATGCAGTGACTTTTCTGTGCAACAATGGAGAAAAGGATCTACTTTTACATGTGCATTTTCAAAGTATTTATAGCAAAGCTGAATAAGTATGACATAATCTCCCACCTTTTGCTCTAGCCATTTTTTTTAATCCAGCAAGAAAAAATGCACAATCTTCTTTTGTGATTACAACCCCATGGCATTGTTCTCCAAAGCAGTAATGAATATATCTTCTGTATAAAATAATGAAATCTCTAAAAGAATGGTTTTCTATATTCCCCATTGTGCATTTAATAATATGCCTGGTAAAGTATTCATTGGTTTTATAGGCCATGCTATAAAGGGTTAGTTGCCTACAGTGATTCATCCCACACCAAGGCCTGCCTTTTCTTATCTTGTTCAATTGAAGCAGAATGTACTGTACAACACCCAACTTGGCTGTTTCCTTGTCAGCTAAGTGTATGTCATTTGCAGCTACAACTCAGCGTGGCCAAGGCTTTTCTCTCACAATAGCATTTCCTGGGCACCACTTGATAATAACCCTTTCTCATTTAAATAAAAACTCCAGCCCACTTCTGCCCAATCTAATGCCTTCCACACATACTAGTACCACCAGCTCCCAGAATTCCCCAGCAAGGCACATACACTGCATTCTAACAGCTTCTGAGATTACCAAGTTGGGAAAGCTGTTCTAGTAAAATAAGGAAGATAAGAAGGTAAAGTCATAAGTAACTGTACAATGAGTAACTGAAGAACATACTGCCTGTCTATCTAGGCAGCTCCATCTATGAATATGTCACCTGTACTGAATGGAGTTAGTATGCATTCAAAAGCTCTAGGCTGAAACAGAGGAGACTTACGACTTGAGAAACATGAAAAGAGTACCGTAAATGCCGGCGTACAAGGCGACCCGGCGTATAAGACGACCCCCGTCTTTATAGCCGGGCCGCATTCCTAGAACGTCGTCTTATACGCCAGAAACTACCAGTATTTCTGGCATGTAAGACGACCCCCGTCTTTGGCGCCGATTTCAGCGCTCGCGGAAGTCACCTTATACGCCGGCATTTACGGTATTTTACAGCAGATCAGAAAATATTTGGTATTCTGAAATTAAGTTTCCCAAAATGGAAACCTAGGCTCTAGGTGCCCATTGAACAATAATTGTTGTTGTAAGGTTCACTGCTTGAAATGCATAGCTCTCAATCAGAAGTCCCTTTTCCCAATCATTTTTCATTTTAGAGATAGGAAATAACACATTTTTTTTAAACAAATTGTATTGGTTTTTTGATTCTTAAGACAAAGTGCTCGAGACATACCATGGTACTGGGGTAATCAAAAATCCAAAAACAAAACATATATAAATAACTCAATCAGTACATCAAGTATTCCCTCTCTATTTCCCTCAAATAGCTTAATATATTTAAAATAATCTATTTCTGACTTAAATTTCTATTAATCCTAAACGTGTTTTAGAGCTTTATACAATTGCAATACCATAATCAAATTTAACTTTAAATAACCATATTTCCAGTTCAGGTATTCCTTCCAAATATATCCTAATTCCTTAAATTTATCATAAATCTTATTTTTTTGTCTTCCACTAATATCTCCCAGTTAAAATAAAATATTGATCTATCCTATACATATCTAATCCATCAATCAATTTCTTTAAACTGACAAAGTAATATCAACCTTAAATCCTTTAAGTCCGTTAGACAAGGTACTGATTTCATCCAATTAATTATCAAAACTAATAACCTCCATATTATCAAAAAAAACACATCATCATTAAAATAACATCAATTAATTATTAGTTCAATCCCGATCTAAAACAACTCTTCAGTTTTCTTCATTCCATTACATGATAATTTTCATACAAATAAACCTATTATTCCAAAAAATATATTCTTACTCTATTTAATGAATATATTCTAATAGTCACCCATTTTTCTTACTTCTAACTCAAAAGCTTAGTCCTTAAATCAATCCATAGTTCTAAAATGCCTTAAATCCAGTATATATAGTTTTAAGTTTCTCTTTTCAGTCTTATTCTAGGTTTCTTTTTATGCCAAGCAGGTTTCTACAACAAAGCTTCTCTTTCAGCTGATAGGTCTCTCTTTGTTACTTGTAGTACCATGTGAGACAGTAAGAGACCTCCTGTCTTCTGCATTGGACCTCTATTTCTCTTATACTTGAAGCCTCATTGCTTTAAAGGTTCAAATCTCAGGAATATAGATAAGATGCTTATAAGGTAAAATAAGTTCCTCTGTATTCTCACTGAAGTCATCTTTTAATATATTTTGGTTTGTAAAATAGTCAAATGTAGTCTGAGAGTCAATTTTAAAATTTGAAGGAGAGTTTCTGGCTCTTAGATCTGTGGAAATCTCTTCCATTGTAGCAAATTCCTCTTTAATCTCTCTTAGTTCCTCTTCTGGTATGTTTTGGTTTGTAGAATAATCAGATGTGATCTAAAAGTCAATTTGAGAGTTTGGGGTAGAGTTGGCTCTTCGTTCTTTAGTAATCCTTTTCCTTATGGCACATATTTCTTCAGTAGCCTCATAAATCTTTTCCAGTATAAACTTCCAATTTAAATGAGAGTGAAATTTCTCCATTTTGAAAGTAATTAAAGAAAATAATTTTTATTCTTTTTAGTAAAAACTGTAGTTAAGCAGTGTCCACCCCCTCAGTTCGCACAGCTGCATCAGCTTATCTTTTCCAGGAATAGTTTGAAGGTCAAGTCCTTCTCTCCAAAGAATGATCACAGTTGCAATATTAAGTTTTCACCACTAGATGTCCTCAGTAAATAAAAAAAATTTTCCAGACACCATTTTTTTCCTTTTTTCTATCTTTTAAAGGAAAACGTAGAAAAAGGAATAGTCTTCCAAAATAAAATAATAATACAATTCGAAAAAGCATTTTTTTCTGTATCCCAAACTGAATGAAAATAAAATGTAGTCTTTAAAATTTTTGTTCTCAGCATCTTTCTTCCCACACATACAGAAGCTGCTTTTCCAGACAGGGAAGTAATTCCAAACAAGCTTTCACAGGCAATAGAAAAAACCAATTAGGGCAAAAAGAGGGGCAAAGAAGGTTTCATCTGGATCCTCCGCAGTGGATATAATATGCTTAGTTGTTATTGTGACTTCGGCTGGTGCAGCAGAGTAATCGGCCATCTTGCAGGACGATCGTTGTTCCATCGGCCCTAAGGAAATAGCTGGAGCCACGGGAGAATCTTCTCCCGCAGTCACCAGCAAGCCTCCTCCACGGTAGTCGCCCCTCCAGGGCGACTTTTGACCCACTAAGGAGTCTACCAATGAAGAAAACCCGGCCGGGCTGAAAACAAGTCCCCAGACATGACAGGCATCGCTGCGTACCAGAACCGGAAGTCAGAAATAACACATATTTGTACCTTGAGAAATATTAACTTCTGCTTACATAGACAGTTTAATTCATCTAGGCATTTTATATTTGGGCTTTCTTAGCTGATTTTAATGTATTGAGACTAGACTTTATGTGGCCTTTTTGAACTGAATGTCTCATTTTTAAATATACTACCCTGAAATCTCTCTTTGGATGAAGGCAAGATCTTTAAATCTTTACAACTGCACAGTAACAGATAATAATACAAGAGAATTAAGTATTGTATAATTCTCCAACTTCTTTTATTAATAGGCTTTCTGAGTTTGAGATAGGTTCTTATAGTCCACAAAGCTAATCTTCCATCCCTCTGAATATGCATGTCAAATATGGCAATTTTGAGTATGCATAGGATGAATGTTTGCAGAGGCATCTCTACCAAATGAAGTGATACCAGAAGTAGGCAACCTGTGACTTGCCAAAAATCTCCCCCCCCCTTACTCTCCCCTGCGAAATCAGAGCCACTTTCTATTTTTTTTTTAAAAAAAATATGGAAGCTGTAAAATGTGTAAAACCCTCCAAAAAAGCTTTGTTCCTGCCTATCCCTCTCAAAAGACAAAAAAATACTTTAAAAATCATTTTAAAATTGATCTATTAGCAACAATTTGCCCTGAACAATTGGCATGAACATTGAAATGTTGTGAAATTTCAGCCAAGTTTTAGAAAATTTATAATTTACACGCAATCCGGCAGATGCCATCTAGTGTGGCAAGGGGTCCCTCCCTTAAGCTTCAGAAAAAAGCAAAACATTGTCCACCCCTGCAGAAGGGAGAAATATATCCAGTGGTTTGGGAGATAATATAGGCTCTATTTGTATTAATCATACAGGTAGTCCTGGACTTACAACCATAGAGCCATGGTGGCGGAGTGGTTAGAATGCAGTACTGCAGACTACTTCTGCCGACTGCCAGAAGTTGACTCAGACTTCTATCTTTCCAAGGTCGTAAAATGAGGACCCAGATTGTTGGGGGCAATATGCTGACTCTGTAAACCACTTAGTGAGGGCTGTAAAGCACTGTGAAGTGGTATATAAGTCTAAGTCAGTGGTTCTCAACCTTTTTAATGCCGCGACCCCCAACCGGTCGTAAGTTGAGGACTACTCAACCGGTCGTAAGTCGAGGACTACTCAACTGGTGCAGCACCGTTTGCAGAATGGGACTTTTGGCGGGCTCAGCAGGGCAGAGACAGCCTGGACAATTCCTATTGGCTTTTGAAAGCCAATAGAATTAGACTCTATTCAAGAGACTCTATTCTATTGGCTTTCAAAAGCCAATAGAATAAAAGGGAGTAGCACAGCTAAGGAAAAAGGAAAAAAATGGCGGACTGCGTTGTTTGGCGACCCCCCTGAAATGGTCATTCGACCCCAAATGGGGTCCCGACCCACAGGTTGAGAACCACTGGTCTAAGTGCTACTGCTATTCCA